ATCAAGACTCTGGACTCAGAGACCTGATTTATACAGGTTCAAAGCAACAAAGACTTCTAACCTCACAGTTCAGGAAAGTGTTGCAGAAACAAATGGGAATTAAATGTGACTACAGGTGATAACCTGACTGGTTATTGAACTATAAAACTCATCTGTTCTGACATCAGTCTTTTCTTTCAGATCAGTGAATTGTTTCTGTTTGTGCCGTCTTCTCTGCACAGCAGCTACAGCAGATACTTTTTGTTATTTTAAAGGGTGTGGTGTTGAACACAGATCAAACCCCCAGTTTTAAAGCCAGACGTTCTCCTGCTGTAGCCTGCAACTGTTTGAGACACAGAAACACAAATGAATCCGGTGTGAATCCTCCCGAGGCAGCAGCCACCTCACATTTGATCTGTGGGAACGTTCAGTTAGCTGTGTGACAGGACACGCAAATGTCACTCAGAACCGGTTCTCAAACAGCTAAATCTGCTCAGGTTCTGCAGGGGAAGGAGCTGTGCTTCTATCAAACACGTAACATCAGACGGTGCTTTCTGACAAACTTTTAGCCTTGAACTCATTTCCATTTTCTGTTATCAGTGGCCAACCAGGATTAGATTGACTCTCCTCTGTTGCTGTGGTTGGTTCGGCTGACACGAGGCAGATAAAGACCTGACCTCTCAGAAGACATATTGTTTTAACGACTTTGTCACGATCTGCAGATCGTCCTGATATCAGAGCCTCCAGGACCAGGTCCAGTCCTGCTGTGGAGGAAACATCCAGCAGCTGGACAGGATGCAGAGTGAAAGTCACTGTGTTTGTACTGACAGCCCATGTAGACGCTGGTCCTGTGACAGCTTCCACTCGGACTTTTTGTTGTACGTGTTGATTTTACTGTGAGGTTATTGGCTGTGTCTCAATTTATGGGTCGCAGGCGACGTCGGCCACATTTGTCGGCCGCTTATGTCACTGCCCTGCCCTACTCCGTAGGCTGTCCCAATTCATAGACAACTGTGAAGCCGACAAAACCCTGAAAACCTGGGCTGCATCTGAGTATCCTACACGGCCAGTGGTATCCCAGAATTCATTGCGCCTTCAGCAAATTAAGCAGATAACCAATGACACGATTTTTTATTGTTTTACGTCTGAGTTGTTTTTTTTATTTATTTTATTTATTTCTTTGGTAATTCATCATGGACCAAAGAATGCAAGTTAAACAATTTAGCTGAAGAATGTTTTGTTGCAATGATCAGATGTTAAATAAAATGCAGTTACAAGTACTGATACTGGAGCTAAACCCAAATTATTAATGCTTTTTATTTATTTATTTGTAACGTTTTTCTCTTAAAACTGAATTTTATAAAGTTGTACCTTAAAAAAACAACTGAACATGAACATGGTAATGAGGCAGAGCATGGTCACGCAAACACACGTCTTTCTTAGATACCAACACAAAGAGGGAGTGAGGGACAAAAACAAAGGGACGCTTGCATTCAGTACATTCACATAACACGAGACGGGTCAGGTGATGGGCCACATGACCCTCTATGAACAATAGAGCCAATCAAGCCTATTGTTAGTCGATCACCCTCTTTTGCATGTGACTAACCAGTTTGTCCACCATGTGGAGGCTGAGTTTCACCTGAAACTCATCAGACTGAAGAAGTCTCTTGGAGGAGAGATGAAACGTTTCACTAAAGAAGAACCCGTCCAGAAGACCTACTTATTTTTTCTTTTTGATTTTTTTCTACCTGGATTACTGAGATGCATCAGGACGTCTTCCTTAGACTAGACCAGGTCTATTCAACTAAATTGCCCCGGGGGCCACAGTTAATGCGGGCCAACAGCTCAGGGGCCGAACATCCAGTAATTAAAGTCATTATGTAAATACACCAAGTATTTCTATGGTCTGTTACCTTTAAAATAGTTAATTTTGATGCATTCAACCATAAATACAACATGCAGAATCCTATGTAATAAAAGTAGAGATAATTAAACAATATCAAAAACAAAAAGAACACATTCTGCCTCCTATTTGACACAAATATTATTTTGGCATCTCTGACTTGACAATTTTGTAAACCAGTTTTATTTTCACTTTCGTAGTTTTATCTTCAACTGCTTGTAGTTTTAACTGTCTTGCGTGTTCATAGAAATGTTTTTTACCAGCCTCTAGGCAAGATTCTGACGTTTCTGTAGATACCAAACGTTTATATGTTTAACTAAAATAACTTAGAGTAATTAAAGTAGAAAATCCGGGGTTTGAAGTTAAGAGATGAATTAACCAATTGGTGGGTCAAACTTTGGCCACATCCGGCCCGCGGGCCATCAGTTGAATAGCCCTGGACTAGACTGTCTCATTTCACAGCCATAAATGCAGCCGATGTGGGCAGCCTTACAGCCCATGTAGACTTCAATAAAGGGCAATTACAGCACTTTTTATCCATCTGGACCACACTAGAACTGGTCCAGATTTGAAACTATGACTCTTCAAACATGTCCTGTATTTTACACTTGATTTTTTTAATTTTCCTGGCAGTGATGTTGTGCTTTCACAGGGAGTTACATTTTAGGTGAAGCGATGAATACTTTTTAAACATTTTGTTTTCTCAGGATGAATTTGTCTTGTTATTTCTGGCTGCCAGCAGAAACAAAGGTTGATCACGAGTTTTGCCAGTGTTTGTCTGCTGTGTTAGTAAAACATCCAATGAAAAACTGAACAACTCTCCGAAAGTGATGCACCTCTACAGGTGATTAAGATTTGGAGCAACTTCAGTTCTAGATGGCTGTTAAATAATATTTACAGCAACTCAGTCAGTTTGACAGATGAAAGATTTGTTGTGGTAGTTGCTGATGTTCATCTGCAACACAAACTCTGAGCGCTCACAAACCTGCTCCCAGAATTTTGCATAACAATAAAAAAACATACATTTTCTTTACAAAAGCTGCTCTTAACTCTGAAGTGAACAGGTTTGGCCATAAGAAGTTCAAAAAGAACATAGAGAACACTGATCACTGGTGACGATGCAAACAAGAATTCATAAAGTACAGAACATGAGAAAAGCCTCCAGCTGAAGAATGATTCACAACAGCAGCTGATGTGATGCAAACGGTGTGCAGGCCTGCTGCTCTGAGAGCCAGGCCTCAGGTGACCCTCCGTCACAAAACACCTCAAAGTTTTAAATGTCTTTCACAACCTCTGAAACCTGCACAGCCTCAGTAATCTTTAAAGGGGCAATATCATGTAAAATCAACTTTTTTGAGTTTTATATCATGTTATAATGTTATACTCTCATAAAAAACATGACCAAAGCCTTGCTCTGACTCATTCATGCATGTTTGAGAAATCCTGCAGTGTTTTTAGGAAGCCATGCAGAGGAGCAAAACGACAGGTGGGGACCAGAAACGCCCCTGGGACGTGTTTTTAAGTCGAACTTCCTCATGGCAGAGAGCACCCCCTCCCCCCTTCCCCACACACTCCGCCCATGACTCCTGCAGGCTCTCGGTGAAAGTGAAAGTGAAACTTAAACTGTCTGCTGAGCTCTCAACACTACTTCTCACTCAGTGAAGTTCTTTTCAGATTAAAAATACCTTTGAGGAAATGTATTT